AATTTGCCATCTTCATTCTTCTTCTGCCCATGTAAAACTCTCCCTTGCCTTTAATAATGGAAATGGATGGTAGGGCATAGAGCAAATGTACCAAATGCCTACATTTTCAAACATTAGTTATCTATACATTACCCTTTCCAAGAATAAATGTAAACAAAGTAATATGCAGTTCACTATAGCTTATTATAGAATAAATAAAAACAGCAATACCATTTAGAACTTTTATAGCACTTTTCATCTAGAAATCTCAAAGCAGCTTACACAAGGGGGATAGTAGAGTAGCTTTGGCACCAAAGAGCCTTTCAAACTCACACATTGTCCATTTGACGAGTGTAAAGAACACAGTCTGAATAATATGTTCATCCCATAGGCAAAGTTACAGCTAAATATTGCATTAGTGCTATGAATGAATTGAGCTTATTTTAGCAGAAGTCTAAAAGAAGAATTGCATATCACCAAAGCTATGAAGATATATGAAACTGAAGGCCTAGAGCTTAACAAATATCCAGACTTCCATAAAAAAATCATAGAATAGTTTGGGTTGGAAAGGACCTTAAGATCATCTTGTTCCAACCCCTCTGCCATGGGCAGGGACACCTCACAACTAAACCATGTCACCCAAGGCTCTGTCCAACCTGGCCTTGAACACTGCCAGGGATGGAGCATTCACAACTTCCTTGGGCAGCCCATTCCAGTGCCTCACCACCTTCACAGTAAAGAACTTATTCCTTATATCCAATCTAAACTTCCCCTGTTTAAGTTTTAACCTGTTACCCCTTGTCCTATCACTACAGTCCCTAGTGAAGAGTCCCTCTCCAGCATCCTTGTAGGCCCCCTTCAGATACTGGAAGGCTGCTATGAGTTCTCCATGCAGCCTTCTCTTCTCCAGGCTGAACAGCCCCACCAAGTATCAGAAACTGAATTCTAGGCCTGTAAAATATCTATCAGAATGCTTTGAATACCAGTCAGACATGTATCTCCACACCTTTATGAGTGTCCTGGGTTCAGCAGTAGCAGTCATGTTTTTTCCTTTGTGTTAACTGGTGCAGTGCTGTGTTTTGACTTCTAGTTTGAGAACAGTGTTGGTGAAGCCGATGTTTTCGGTTGTTGCTAAGTGATGTTTACCCTGACCAAGGACTCTGTGAGGCTCATGCTCTGCCAGGGAGGAGGGGAAGCTGTGAGGAAGCAGAGACGGGGTGCCTGACCCGGGCTAGCCGGGGAGGTATTCCATACCACAGCACGTCATGCCCGGGGTGGGGGGTAACTGGGAGTTACCCGGAAGGACAGGGGCTTCCGGGTGGGACTCGTTTCTTGGCCGGTGGTATCGTATTCTCTTCTCTTGTTATTTTCCCTTATCATTGTTTTAGATGATAGTAGCGGTGGTGATTTGTTGCTGGACTGTTCTTGTCTCAACCCGTAGGAGTTGCACTCTCTCGATCCTCCTCCCCGTTCCTCCGGGAGCAGGGAAGGGGAGAGCCCCGGTGCGGGGGGGGGGGGGGGGGAGACGGACACTGACCTCGATTGTTGTCAGCTCGGCACCACTCACTGGGAGTGAGTGAACAAGTTACCTGACTGGGTTTAAACCACGACAATGAGGAAAGGTGAATGATGCTAGGACTTAAATTTTAAAAGTTGTGACTGCACTTTGTGAAAGAATCATGCAAGGAATAAATCGACAAAATTATTATCTTTACATCTTTACTGATAACCTGTTTTTATGTGAATAATCAAAGAAGAAGAAAGTTAAAAAAAAAAATCAGCAGAAGTTTTTGTATTGGCAAGTCTTAGCAAACCCCCACATTTTTTTAGCAAAAGTATAATAATCCAATCAACTTTCATTTGGGTAGGCAGTGTTGTTAAAAAGAGCAATTATCACCTCCACCATTTCTCCAGTTTTCCTTTCCTCATCTCTTTTCTCAGCCTTTTGTACTAGGAAAATTGAACAGTATGAGGTTAAAGGGAAAAGATAGGAGGAAAAGGAAAGGAAATTAAAATATTTCTACTTTCAAACTGAAAATATGAAAATTATTTTTTTTCACTTCTGAATAAAGGTTTTCACACTACATACAGTACCTAGTATATTGTTGTGGAGACAATCATTTGATATTTCTGTCACAAATACTTTTTAAACTTTGCATTCTTGGTCTTTCTGCCTTATGTCACTAAATGCTCCATCTGATGCCTACCTAACTGTCTGATAACAGGAAACAGTCAAACAGTCAGCAAAGATCAACTGCAGTTTCAGTCTTGTTTCGCTTAAAAAAAAAAAAAGAGAAAAAAAAAGACTCTACATTCTAGCAACTTGCAGGACATTTTGCTATAATTTTCAGTTGATCTCTAGATAGACAGCCGGTTATATATCAGTGCTTCTTTGATCTTCTACATTTAATTGGGACATCAACAAGATCTTTCATGTTTAGAGGCCATCAATGAGTAAAAAGCAGTGTTTCATGAAAAAAGTGACAAATTGTCTTTTCTTCTTTTTCTTCTTTTTTTTTTGTTTTTCCTTTTTTTTTTTCTTTTTTCTTCCTTATGGATGGAAGACCAAGCAGTTTCTTTGTTGTCTCTGTCAACTTCTATATCATAGATTTAAAAACCTGAAATTAGTATGAAAAGGAGAACCTTAATTACTATAGTAGAGTGAGCAGCCTGAAACCTTACTGTTTTTCCTGGTGGAACATGGCAGATGTGCTAGTCTGTAAATGCATGAAACCCACTCCACCTAATATAAGAGTAAGCAATATATTTGCTTAAAATAAAATAAAATTATTTCCCATTTCAGAAGACTACCTCCTTATACAATGAAATATTTTTTATGAAGATTGAGTTCTTGAAAGGCAAGGCTCAGTACAATGAAGATTTCCCAACAGCCATGCAATGGAAGGAAGGATTTTCCTGTGCTGACCATCTGTAGGCAACTCTTTAACATCCTTTGTTTTGTGCTTCAGTTAAGAATGAAATCAGAAGAGGCTTCTGAGATGATAAAAAAAAAAAAAGGTATGCATTTAAATTTAACTCCTGATAAATTAAGATGTTACCAAACCTTTGTTGTAACATTCAAACCTGTAGAAAGGCAGAAGAAAAATTAGGGAAACTACTTTTCATTATCTCCACTTCGATTTTGGCATTGGATATCAATGATGTTCTACATGGTGTTTGTTGTGGTTTAAACCCAACCACAGCTTGTTCCCTCATTCCCCCCCTTTTCTCCCTCTTTCTTTCCTTTCCCCTACTCCTGGAGGGATGGAGAAGAGAACCGAAAAGAATGCAACTCGCATGGGTTGAGATAAGAACAGTTTAGTAACTAAGGTATAACACAAATCACTACTGCTACCACCAATAATAATAATAATAAAGGGAATAACAAGGGAAGAGAATACATCACCTCAGCACCAGCCAACCAGTAACTTGCCCCCCCAAGCCCGACCAAGCACCGATCAATACCTCCTCCAACCCTGCAGTCTCCCAGCCCTCCCAGGTAACTCTCAGTTACATCCTGGGCATGACGTGCTGTGGTATGGAATACCTCTTTGGTCAGTTTGGGTCAGGTGTCCTGTCTCTGCTTCCTCCCGGCTTCCCCTCTTCTCTGGAAGAGCATGAGGCTCACAAAGTCCTTGGCCAGACCAAAACATTGCTATCAGTTCTGTTCCCAGGCCGAAAGTCAAAACACAGCACTGCACCAGCTACCAAGAAGGAGAAAAATGACTGCTACTGCTGAACCAAGGACAGTGTTACATCCTAAGACCAAGCGACTGAAGGAGACAGTGTATATAAAAAATAAATGAACAGTCCTTATGTGCAGCATATGGAACCTTGCCACACACAGAGGCACTGGGGGGAAAACCCCCACAAGATACTGAAAGCTATTTTGAATGATTGCTAAAGTGAATGGCATATGTATAAAATGACTGACTAGTTGACTAGTTAATTGGTAATGTTTATTTTCTTTGCAGGTCTGAGATACTGCTCCGTTGTCATTTTGGCTGCATTGAATTACTCTTCTAGCAGGTAAACACAAACTATAGAATTAATTTTTTAAACAAGTTAAAGAAACACCAGAAAACTATCTCTAATCTCCTCATTTGGTATGAACTTTTCTTGAACAATCAAGATGGTCACATTCTGCTAGAACAGAGTTTAATCCTTGAGGCTAAGTGTTGTTGATTAAATAATTTTTCCTGCTAAAGCAAAAGGCCTTAGTGGTTACATAAGCTATTTGTAAATTGACCTTTATTTATCTATTAATCATGAAACCTGATTAATGGGTTGCATTGCTAATAAGCTTCCTATTGTTAATAAGCTTCGGTGTACCTGTCTATTTTGAATGATTACATTCTTATGTTGGGGGCCCCAGAGCTGGATGAAGTACTCCAGATGGAGTCTTGCATAAGCAGAGCAGAGGAGGCCAAGTCCAGTTAGATGACTTCAGTCTTTATCCACCAATTCTGTAACCCAGTGCTAGCAATCCCTCTTCAGGCTCCGGACATCTATTGCTAGCACTGGCATTAAACTGGTAGGAGTGGAATGGATGGAGGTTCCCCTCACCTGACAATTTCAGTTTAAAGCCCTCTTCACTAGCTTGGCAAGCCTATGACTGAAGATGCTCTTCTTCTCTGACAGATAGATCCCATCAGCTCTCAGTAGACTAGGCTTCCAAAGCAAGTACCATGGTCTAATAAGGCAAACCCCTGGATGTGGCATCAGTCCTGTAAACATTTTTTTTATTCACCAGATACCACTGGCCCTTTCAAACCACTTGCCTTTGTCCAGGAGGACTGATGAAAAAACTACCCTAACTGCCACCCCTGAGGCTCTGTAATTCTTCTTAGAATCACAGAATAGTTTGGGTTGGAAAGGACCTTAAGATCATCTAGTTCCAACCCCCCTGCTGTGGGCAGGGACACCTCTCACTAAATCATATCACCCAAGGCCTCGTCCAACCTGGTCTTGAACACTGCCAGGGATGGAGCATTCACAACCTCCCTGGGCAACTCATTCCAGTGCCTCACCACCCTCACAGTAAAGAATTTCCTTCTTATAGCCAATCTAAACTTCCCCTGTTTAAGTTTTAACCCGTTACCCCTTCTCCTATCACTACAGTCCATAATGAAGAGTCCCTCTCCAGCATCCCTATAGGCCCCCTTCAGATACTGCAAGGCTGCTATGAGGTCTCCACGCAGCCTTCTCTTCTCCAGGCTGAACAGCTCCAACTTCCTCAGCCTTCTTCATACAGGAGGTGCTCCAGTCCCCTCATCATCCTCATGGCCCTCCTCTGGACTTGTTCCAACAGTTCCATGTCCTTTTTGTGTTGAGGACACCAGAACTGCACACAATACTCCAGGTGAGGTCTCACAAGAGCAGAGTAGAGGGACAGGATCACCTCCAAGGATCACCTCTTGATACTCCTCAAACTGCTTCCGGCTATATTGCTGGTGCACACATGAAAAAACAGCAGTCAGTGGAGAGTACAATGCTTGGTAGTATCTTGGTGACATCCCTGATATGAGCTGCTGGTAAGAAGCACACCTCTCTAGAGAGCATGTCAGGCTGGCCTCTATACCTCTCAGAAGAGAGTTGCCTACTACTATAACCCTACTATCATCTGTCATCATTTTGTAGTTTTGCTGGTTCTTATACGGGAAGCAGATTGGGTTGCCGTACTCAGCTCCAGCACCTCTCCTGATGTCACAGGTCTCTCTTCTTCAGTCTGTAGAGCAGCAAAGTGGTTCTGCGGGCACATCAGGCTTCAGGGGAAGTCTGTTCTTCCTGCAACTTTATTCATGTGGCTTCCTATCTGCTGACTGTGATTGTCCATGAGTTTTTGTCTGAAACATCTCATCACATTTAGAAATGTGTCAATATTTAAAAATACACAATGATGAATTTCTTTGCCTCTGTCTTAGATCACGTTAACTTTAGGCCACAGAAAGCTGGTGAATTTTGATTTCATAATGGTAAAAAATTCATAATAGTTTTAGTTTTGCAGTGGATGAGATTCTAGACTTACTAAAGCAAAAAGAAAAATGTAAAATTTCATGAGGCCAATTGTTTACTCACATTTTTAATTTCTAGTAAGAAAACAGACAAATCACAACTTATAGCTATTTGATATAGCATCTATGAAGTCAACTTGAAAAACTATCACTGACTTAAAAAAATTCATGGATTTGTTCCTAAAGGATTTTGTATTAACTGTTTGAAGACTCCACAGCTTTTCAAACCACTTCATGCTGAATGTAGGCCAAATCCAAATGACTCAAGGAAAAAAAATAACTGTTGGAATAAAGGCAATGAACCTCATCTCCTTCTCTTTTTTGTTCTGTGGCATGATGAAGCTCTCTGGATGAGCAGCAGAGTGATTTCATGTTACCATGTGTGTACTGATACCTTTCCTAACACTGAAGTAATTCATGTGCACTAGTTTATTAGGAGTGAAAATTATCTTGCAGGCTTAAAATGAAAAACCATTGGGCAACCTAATAACCTGTTCAGTTGTTGTTTCTAAGGTTGGAAACCAGTCCTGTGAATGCTGAAATAAAGACGAAGTATTCCTATTATATTACTGGTATGCAAAGATCATCACCTTGTATATGACATAATCTAGGACAACAACAGGAGATAAGAAAAACATTTTGTGAGTCTACTGCAAATGAAAGAGTTGGTCATGATGGATGAAGAACAAAGAAGCATTAGTTTATACTTGCTTAAAGATTTTGATAGATTCAAAGTTCTTAGAGGAATGAGATCACTGCCTTACTTTCTGCATATCACAGTATATAGGACCTTGTACTTCATTTCAGCCTTTTTATTGCAGTTTGCTGATACTAAGTTTCAACAGCATATTTGTGGACAAAACGTGAGATACAGCTTAGATGGATTTCACCAATTGCTAAGGCAAGCGTGGAAAGAAACCTGCCTGAGAAAGCACTGCAACTCTCCGTAACAAATTACCATGAGGTGTGAAGTAATGTAAAATTTCATCAACAGCATAAATATGTAAATTTAATCACCTGAGATGGATTTTTTGTATGTTTGATGATAAAACTGAAATCAGTTTCTTCAAATAGCTTCTTTGAGAATCTTTCAAAACTCTGAAAGCAGTTCATCAGAAAGCAGCTTTGGATAACACACTCCTGCATGTTCAATGACAGAAGAAGGCACAGATGATGTGCCAAATATATTCTCTCTCATATACACTACCCACATGCTTCCACAAGCACAACTTATCACCCTGAATGAAATTTCAAGTTTTCAATTTATTTTTATGCTATTAAATCAAGAATTATATCTATAGTATGAAACTAAAATACAATATTAAATTTCCTTATTGAGTTTCACATTGTTAAGTTGATGAGCTTATTTGTTTTTATTATTTAAAATATACAACAAGCTAAGTTTTGGAAATAAAATCTAGCACAGTCTCCTTTAACAGATCTTTCTTGGGTACTGATAAATTCTGGTGCAAATTTACTATAGATTTTATTGTAGCTCCAAACTTTGAAAAAGCTGTTATTCTCCTTAGGTCTGCAGTCAGTTTAAAGATGGACTGAAATTTGCAATGGAGTATGGAAAAAAAAAAAAAGGTACACACCCCTCCTCCCCACCCCCAATTTCAACAGAAATCCCAGTCTTATCAGTATAAATGTTTATTAGTGTCTTGCCCATCTTTCTAAAAATAAATTAACATGATTGAAAACTTCTTGTTACACTTGTACTGCAACACAAATGTAATTGACAAAATATTTTTTCATACTTTTGTAAGAGAAGATTTTTATTTTAAAATAGTTTGTGTCATTTATCAGTTTCCAATATCACTGCTGTGCTCAAGCTGGAGGAAAAACAAACCCCAAATTAAATCAAACATAGCTATTGACCATGATTCTTGTTCTGATGAAAAAAAAAACAAAACAAAACAAAAACAAACAAGAAAGCATTTACTTAGGGAAATTAAGAAATATTTAAAATTAATAAGTGTTTTAGAATGAATTCTCTTGTACCTCAAAACGTCATTGTATAAATGGATTTGAAAAATACAAATTTTCTAATGGATTGTACTTCTAAGAAACAAAGAATCCCATTATTTCCTTCTGAAGGAATATTAACACTATGTAGTGTACAAGATGAATTTAAAAATCCCTTTGTTAATTGCTACCTTCATGGCAAAATTTGTAATTATAAGCAGATTATAAATTTTTAATTGCTGTTACTGACTGCTGCCAAGAATTCTTTCTACCAATTTTATAAAAGAAAGAGTTGAAAGAAAATATCATTTTGTTACAGAAATTGGACAAAGAGAGAAACTATGCCTGGACAGATAAGTAATTGGAGAGAGACTGATAGACAAGTAATTAAGAAATAAATTAGAGATTGCCCAATGAATTCCTTTTTTATTCCTTGTATTTACACAAATAAATAAATAAATAAATGAACCCCAAGTCCTGAAAGACCTAACCCACTTGCCCTGAACACTTATATAACAAAATCTTTTCATATAATTTCTTTCTTCTGCAAAGAAACGTGATTGAAAAAGTGATTCCATTTAATGAGTTCCCTCAAACTGACACAAACTAGCCAACAAATATTTCACTAACATTTGAGCTAAAAAAGAGAATTCTAAATGACCTCAAACAATAATACAGTATCACAAAAAGTAGGGTAGATTTCCACTGTGTCTCATTTTAGATGCTACAGTTTTTGTTGATGACACTGTCTTCTTAAATGGAAACTTGATATAACTCCACATCAATTGTTCTCATTACCTTGGTCTGCCTGGTTGGTAGTCTTTTATGCTGGGTTAAGTTTGAGTCTATCTGTGCTCTTGATGAGCATGATTGTTTATTGCATTTTATTAAATTCACTGTGGATAACTGGGTAACAAATGGCCAAGCTATAAGCTGGGGACACAGAGGCTGTCAGTTGTCAACACTGTGACAAATTATTGCTTTATGATCAGAAACCAAAAAGTACTTAAATGATACTGGCTATAGTTATGGTCATAATTTATTGGGCTCAAGTGGCTGCTTTCTTTATGGTGCCCTGCCTTTTCTTTCCTCAATTTCTGTTCTGCTGTAGTTGGCATTTTAAAATCTCAGTCCCCTTGTACAAAATCTTTATCTCTGCAATATAAGAGAAGACAAGAAAGCATATGCAGCAGAGAGCTGGGGAGGCTAATAATATATTGTGAAGTTTTATGTAAGACCTTTATGGATAAAAGCACCCACTTCTTCAGTCAAAATTGAATGAGCATGCCTGTCTTTCTTGAAGTCTCTTCCCTCTTAATGTTTTGGCTTTTTGTTGTTGTTTTTTTTTTTTTTAAATAAGGTTTTAGTTAAACAAGGCATTTTTTTTTGCATTTGCATTTCAAATCTACACTTACAAAGCTAATGACATGATTTTCCTAAGCACTCCTAAAACTGGTCAAGAGATTCATAGTTATGCATTATTGATGGAATGCGAACTACACAGTTCTGCCTCCAAACAGACTAGCATCTAAGAGTAAAGGTGGGATAATGATTTTCATAAATATTTTCTATTTCTGCTGAACTGTTTTCAGTTGCTTTGTCTTGACCTACCCTATTTCAGTATTTCTTTTTAATTTTTCTTGTCAGGTCCATTCTCTTTCCAGTTATTACTGGTTCCTAATTTATTCTCAACCAGTTGCTTTTATTCCCACACTTGGCTACTGCAGCTATTGTTTAACATCAGAACAGAGGAGACCATAGTTTACTTAGTCCCACAATTGCATGCTATTTTGTTGTCTTGATCAGGGATTGCCTATCACTTTTCTCATGGTAGTCTTTTATGAAATCAGAGTTTTCAGGTTCTGAGTTGCCTGATAAGGGGAATAAAAAACCTTTTCAGACACTACAGTGTATTTTCCAGGGTATTCAGACATAAAAGATACATATAACCTGTATATGACTAAAAATAAATTTGATAGATCTTTTTACTTAACAGAAATTTTAAAAGGGATCCTTGCAAGTGAATAAAAATAGTACACAAATATCCAGAGGCTACAAGATCAAGCCCTTAGTTTAAACATTCTATTTTGTGTATTTTGAATAAATTGCATATTTGAGGACTCTTACCATCTTCCAAGTTTTCTGTGGAAATTACATGTTTAAAACATTGCATGAAATTCTAGCCTTTACCACAGTCAATAAGAGTATTCCATTAGTGAAAGCAGGGAGAGATTCTAGCCATCCCTACAGATTAAAGTTTTCTGACAGAAAATTTCTATTCTTTTTCTCTGACATCATTCTGGTAGAATTCTTCAACAAACACAGCATCTTTTTTCTCAAATAGAAAGTGTGGATTGAGTCTTGTACTTGATGTTAATGGAACACTATTGTTCCTTTACCTCTTGCATCCCCCTCAATAGAACCTCTTTATTGCCATATGCATTTAGTTGGGTGTTGTTTTAATACCAATAAATAGCAAAATCCCACAGGCTGTTTCAAGATTTAAAAGAATCATAGAATCATAGAATAGTTAGGGTTGGAAAGGACTTTAAGATCATCAAGTTCCAACAACCCTGCCATGGGCAGGGACACCTCACACTAAACCATGTCACTCAGGACTCCATCTGACTTGGCCTTGAACACTGACAAGGATGGAGCATTCACAACTTCCTTGGGCAGCCCATTCCAGTGACTCACCACCTTCACAGTAAAGAACTTCCTTACATCTAATCTAAACTTCCCCTGTTTAAGTTTTAACCCATTGCCCCTTGTCCTGTCACTACAGTCCATAATGAAGAGTCCATCCCCAGCATCCTCGTGGGCTCCTTCAGATACTGGAAGGCTGCCAGGAGGTCTCCACGCAGCCTTCTCTTCTCCAGGCTGAACAGACCCAACTTTCTCAGCCTGTCTTCATACGGGAGGTGCTCCAGTCCCCTGATCATCCTCGTGGCCCTCCTCTGGACTTGTTCCAACAGTTCCATGTCCTTTTTATGTTGAGGACACCAGAACTGCACACAATACTCCAAGTGAGGTCTCACGAGAGCAGAGTAGAGGGGCAGGATCACCTCCTTCGACCTGCTGGTCACGATCCTTTTGATGCAGCCCAGAATACAGCTGGCTTTCTGGGCTGTGAGCACACACTGCTGGCTCATGTTCATTTTCTCATCGACCAGCACCCCTGTCACCTACAACATTTCCAGAAGAACAAAAATAATATTAGCTATTTCATAAAATATTATAGATATTTCATGAAATATTACAGGAATGTTGCACAGCTGATTACAGCATGTGTTGAGCATCCATTCAAAACCCTCTTTGCCAATTTCCCCCAAGAAAGGACAGTGTTCTAAGTGCTTATAAACTGACTACTTGAGGGTCTTCTGCTCTGTTATTGCGGCTGTTCCATTCTAAGTGACAAAATCATATTACAGATTAACACCTACATTTCTGAAGATACAAACTACAGACTCAAACTAAACTGACCCAAACTACTACTGCGCTTTCTCAGACCAATGCCCACGCTTTGACCATTTGATTCTTTATTTGTATCACTATATTCCTTTAAAAAGCTTTGTCTTTAATGAATATGAATTCTCTGGAAAAAAAAAATCTGTCTCTATAATGAAAGTGTTAGGAGAGAATGTGCTAGGCAATTGCATTTGTTTGATATATCATTAAGGAGTTTTGTCATTCAATGTATGATATATATTTGTATTCAAAAGCACAACAAGCTTCTGCAGCGACTGGGCTTTATGACTATAAGCATTAGATATAAGAAGCTCACATAGAGTTCTATGACAACATTTTAACTTAGATAACCAGATGGACCTGAAAAGCCATGGATCTCTCTAGGAGAAAGAAAAGTTGGAACAGATGCTCTTGAGACCAGCTACTGAAGAGAGTATGTCATTTATGTCATTATTCTTTAATGTAATTAAAGATAAAACAATAAAATGCAGAATTTCCCTTTTTTGTAAAAAAGCATCAAGACTATCTCATATTTAAAGAAACATTAAATTAAAGCAATTCACAAAGTAGATTCAAGATAAATTAAGAGGACTTGAGTACTCCCACTTTTAGGACTTCATTTATTTTGTTTTTAATCCTTCCTTACTTATTTGGCTGCCAACTTGCCTACTCAAAGTTCCTTTTAAAGTCTTGCAAGGTTATAAAGCATAGACTACATTATCTGCTAAATTTCATCTAGAAAGTTAAATGATCATACAATATATCAGGGCAAGAAAAGGGGGAACGGCTTTAAACTGAAAAAGGGTAGATTTAGATTCGATATTAGGAAGAAGTTCTTTACTGTGATGGTGGTGAGACACTGGAACAGGTCTAGCTGTTACAAAGGTGACAATTACTATATATTTACTGATAGATCTTTTTCTAGTTATGTTAAAATAAATATTGATATTAACAATTTTACTCTGAAACAGTAGAAAAAGAAGACATGGTATTTCACTTTCTAATTATAGAGTTCATAGAGTTCAGACATAGACATGGGGGTTTTTACAGTACGCGTGTGGTTTAACAATAAATGTGTCTATGTAACCCTTCTTAATATATTTAACACTTAAGCTCTGACCTGGACATACCTAGTGAATTTCCTTTTTGCATCAAGAAGGTTACACATTCAGCTGATAACAATTCATTCACTTGAAAGCCAAAGTATGCTCAATTACCCCTAATCAGGTCTTCATTTTTCAGTGACCTTAAATAGGCAAACATTCCTAATAGGTTAAGTGTGGGATTAAGCTTACTACAGGCAAAGATGGAAAACAGGAAAAGCTTTCTTGGCTCACCAGCTGTTTTCTGTTACTCAGATATCTAAGATACATTTTATATTTTACCTATATGATTTCTAATCAGAATAGGTTTTCATTTACTGCACATTTTCAGCATCTGTCCAACATAGCCAGATTTCTTTAGAATCCATGAGGCTGAGAAGGAAAATAAGAGCAATAAAATTCATGCCAGCCTTCTCTTGCCATTCTAGAGCTGAGGCACAGGATGTATATTCTGGTGTGTTCTGCTTGAAGGCTGGTGATTACGTGTCCAAGATGAAAAGCTCCTCTGCATTATGAAGCTTTTAGTTACAAATGAGAGTTTCTTGATGCATATTAAACTTGACACATTAACTCCTGGATGAATTGCTTCCAAAGGGAGCTGCTTAAGACTATTAAGACATATGCAGTGAAATCCTAGGTGCTAAGTAGAATTAACATTATTCCAAAGTGTATTTCTTTTTAAAGTGTCTGGTTTAGCTTAAGTTTCTCCCTTTAATCATGCATACTGCCCCAGGCTGCCAAAAAGGCAGCCATCAGAATTGCTTAGCGAAGGCAGCTTAGTGCTGTCAGCCATCTTATCTCCCCTGCTGCATGGGAGATAGCTTTTATCTGTGACTATAAACGTTAAAATGGAACTATAATCCTACCTTTCTCCTACAGAAGATTTCCAGCTTTTCCTCAGATATGAAAAAAACTCCTCCCATTATAGAAGGGCGTATGTGTCTATTTGTTTGCTTATTTACACAAATCAATGTTTGGACAGTAGAAATCATGATGAGCAGGAATTTTTCTGGAAAAACAAATTCTACCTTAGGAACTTTTTGAAAATGGCTAGCTAAGCCATTATGACAATCCCAATCTAACACGTAGAATGCAATTTAAAATAATTAAGCGTATTAATGACATGGCACCACAGAATAATGTATTTAAACCTTTTTTTCTGTTTAATGCAACATTCTATTTTTATTCCAGGGCTTTTCATGCACAGCATCTCAAAGCATCAGTTTAAATAAGGAAAAGAGAGCAAAGATGCTAGCACATGAAATCCCAAAACTAAGTTTGCTTCAGTATTTCATTTTGGAACTGAAAGTTCTTTTCTTTTATTTCACTGGTTGAATAGAAATAGACCACTTCATGGATAACAAACTGGCTGCATGGCCACATTCAGAGACTTGGTGCCACCAGCAAGATTCCAAGCGCAGACAAGTAATGAGTGGTATCCCTCAGTATTGGGACTGGTACTGTTCAAGATCTCTGTCAGTGACATGGACAGTGGGATTGAGTGCACCCTCAGCAAGTTTGCCAATGACACCAAGCTATATGGTCCACAAGTGGGAGGAAAGTGATACCATCTAGAAGGATCTTGACAGGCTTGAAAGGTGGGCCTGTGCAAACCTTGTGAAGTTCAACAAGGCCAAGTGCCCCTGGGCTGGGGCAACTCCAAACACAAATAGAGGCTGGGCAGTTTGGTTTGTTCATCCTGGAGAAGAGAAAGCTCAGGCAACACCTTATAGCAGCATTCCAATACTTAAAGGAAGCCTACAAGAAATCTGGAGAGGGACTTCTTACAAGAGCAAGAAGGGACAGGACAAGGGGGAATGGTTTTTAACTGCCAGAGGGTGGATTTAGATTAGACATTAAGAAGAAATTCTTCGTTATGAGAGTAACAAGGTGCTGGCACAGGTTGCCCAGAGAAGCTGTGGCTGTCCCATCCCTGACAGTGTTCAAGGCCAGGATGGATGGGGATTTGAGCAACCTGGTCTGGTGGAAGGTGTCCCTGTCCGTGGCAGGGAGGTTGGAACTGGATGAATTTTAAGGTCCTTTCCAACCCAAACCATTCTAGTATCATATGATTTTCCAAAACATGCGAAGTTTAAGCATGTAAATCTAGAAAATATTTTTTTCTAAAATCAGGAAAAACATGCATGACAGTTTAGGGATATATTGTCTCATCATTCCTTTAACAGTTCCCTCTGTCCTGTTGCCACTGGCCCTCTCTGAAGCCATGTTGTTTTTAGATTCTTTCTGCTATAGAACTACCATTTGGAACAATCTCCCTGCATCTTCTTACTGCAACAGTATTTCATTTTCCTGACCTTAAATTATCAGTTCCCTAGTTACTTTTTTCTCCTGTTAATATTCTGGACAACTTAACTTTGGGAATACAAGCAATATGTTGTTGGCTGAGCTGGGGTTGGCAGGAAAGAAGAAAAGATGAATGGGGTCTCTGGGCTATCTCTTTCACTTTTACCCTGTTTTCTCAAAACGGAGGGTGGCTTAGACCAGGGAACAGAAAGTGTGAAGATCTCATTCGTCAAGACACAAAATTCCCATTTTCTCACTTGACCACTGAGTTCCACTGAAGCTTTTGAAAGATTCCTACTTCATTCAGAGATTCTGAATTAAACCCCAGATTGTATGCAAATGATGGAAAAGCTGGTTATATGTTTAACTCAAAAAGCATAATTAATGGTCTTAATGTCAAATCAAATACTTGAAGTCGAGTCCTTCCCTAAACATTTATAGGATTCTTCAAAATATTTTTTTTTGGGTTATCAAATCCATACAAAGGGGTTTGATTCCCAATTATCATTAGAAATTAATTGAAACAGGGCATTGCAATCCCCTATGTACAGTTCTGTATATTCAATTCATGTAATGTGGATAAGCAGAAATTAATAGGAAATGGCTGCCCCCAGTGTACTGAAAGACTTGGCTTTCATTTCCATTGAAAATAAAGTTATTATATTTTTGAAGATTCTAACAATTCTAATGTTATTACTTAACTTTAAAATGACAATGAAGAGCTCAGCAAGAAATACTAGAAATTTAAACTGTCACAGTTTTAAAGGTCAAACGTATATTTATGTAGCAGATAGAGATGGTTACAACAAGGATAACCTCTGTTAATTCAACAAGACAGGAATATATTTCTAATAAAAAAGCAGAGAGAAATGCATTACTATGCTTAATAAAACTATTTGCTTTTTCTTTCTTCTCAGTACTTTCCAAGAAGCTCTCTAATTATAGCAGGTTTTAAGTTTCTGTAGAAGCATTTGACATTATTACCATGGGGTTTGAAATAGAAACGTACCCTCAAGTCAAGAAAAGTCCCATCAAACTGGGATTGTTACGGTCCTTCCTCACTAAAATCAATAGTTTATCAATAGATCAACAGTTTATACCAACTAGATTAGATCACGATAGATATATGAACTGTTCCTTGTGTCATTGCTAACTGCATAAAGGTAAATTAATTGAAATCAATGAAAAAAATC